ACACTGAAAGTAGCTGTCATAACAACAATGCATTAAGTAACTTTCACTAAGATACTTTAAGTAACTATCACAGCAACACTGAAAGTAACTGTCATAACGATGAAAGTAGCTGTCATAACAACAATGCATTAAGTAACTATCACTAAGATACATTAAGTAACTATCACAGCAACACTGAAAGTAACTGTCATAACACTGAAAGTAGCTGTCATAACAACAATGCATTAAGTAACTATCACTAAGATACTTTAAGTAACTATCACAGCAACACTGAAAGTAACTGTCATAACGATGAAAGTAGCTGTCATAACAACAATGCATTAAGTAACTATCACTAAGATACATTAAGTAACTATCACAGCAACACTGAAAGTAGCTGTGACAACACTGAAAGTAGCTGTCATACCAACAATGCATTAAGTAACTGTCACTACAATACATTAAGTAACTATCACAGCAACACTGAAAGTAGCTGTCATAACACTGAAAGTAGCGGTCATAACAACAATGCATTAAGTAACTATCACTAAGATATATTAAGTAACTATCACAGCAACACTGAAAGTAACTGTCATAACACTGAAAGTAGCTGTCATAACAACAATGCATTCAGTAACTATCACTAAGATACATTAAGTAACTATCACAGCAACACTGAAAGTAACTGTCACAACACTGAAAGTAGCTGTCATAACAACAATGCATTAAGTAACTGTCACTACAATACATTAAGTAACTATCACAGCAACACTGAAAGTAGCTGTCATAACACTGAAAGTAGCGGTCATAACAACAATGCATTAAGTAACTATCACTAAGATATATTAAGTAACTATCACAGCAACACTGAAAGTAACTGTCATAACACTGAAAGTAGCTGTCATAACAACAATGCAATAAGTAACTATCTCTAAGATATATTAAGTAACTATCACAGCAACACTGAAAGTAACTGTCACAACACTGAAAGTAGCTGTCATAACAACAAGGCATTAAGTAACTATCACTAAGATACTTTAAGTAACTATCACTAAGATATAGTAAGTAACTATCACATCAACACTGAAAGTAACTGTCATAACACTGAAAGTAGCTGTCATAACAACAATGCATTAAGTAACTATCACTAAGATATATTAAGTAACTATCACTAAGATACTTTAAGTAACTATCACAGCAACACTGAAAGTAGCTGTGACAACACTGAAAGTAGCTGTCATAACAACAATGCATTAAGTAACTGTCACTACAATACATTAAGTAACTATCACAGCAACACTGAAAGTAGCTGTCATAACAGTGAAAGTAGCTGTCATAACAACAATGCATTAAGTAACTATCACTAAGATATATTAAGTAACTATCACAGCAACACTGAAAGTAACTGTCATAACACTGAAAGTAGCTGTCATAACAACAATGCATTAAGTAACTATCACTAAGATACATTAAGTAACTATCACAGCAACACTGAAAGTAACTGTCATAACACTGAAAGTAGCTGTCATAACAACAATGCATTAAGTAACTATCACTAAGATATAGTAAGTAACTATCACAGCAACACTGAAAGTAACTGTCATAACACTGAAAGTAGCTGTCATAACAACAATGCATTAAGTAACTATCACTAAGATACACTAATAACTATCACAGCAACACTGAAAGTAACTGTCACAACACTGAAAGTAGCTGTCATAACAACAATGCATTAAGTAACTATCACTAAGATATATTAAGTAACTATCACAGCAACACTGAAAGTAACTGTCATAACACTGAAAGTAGCTGTCATAACAACAATGCATTAAGTAACTATCACTAAAATATATTAAGTAACTATCACAGCAACACTGAAAGTAGCTGTCATAACAACAATGCATTAAGTAACTATCACTAAGATACATTAAGTAACTATCACAGCAACACTGAAAGTAACTGTCACAACACTGAAAGTAGCTGTCATAACAACAATGCATTAAGTAACTATCACAGCAACACTGAAAGTAGCTGTCATAACAACAATGCATTAAGTAACTATCACTAAGATACATTAAGTAACTATCACAGCAACACTGAAAGTAACTGTCACAACACTGAAAGTAGCTGTCATAACAACAATGCATTAAGTAACTTTCACTAAGATACTTTAAGTAACTATCACAGCAACACTGAAAGTAACTGTCATAACGATGAAAGTAGCTGTCATAACAACAATGCATTAAGTAACTATCACTAAGATACATTAAGTAACTATCACAGCAACACTGAAAGTAACTGTCATAACACTGAAAGTAGCTGTCATAACAACAATGCATTAAGTAACTATCACTAAGATACTTTTAAGTAACTATCACAGCAACACTGAAAGTAACTGTCATAACGATGAAAGTAGCTGTCATAACAACAATGCATTAAGTAACTATCACTAAGATACATTAAGTAACTATCACAGCAACACTGAAAGTAGCTGTGACAACACTGAAAGTAGCTGTCATACCAACAATGCATTAAGTAACTGTCACTACAATACATTAAGTAACTATCACAGCAACACTGAAAGTAGCTGTCATAACACTGAAAGTAGCGGTCATAACAACAATGCATTAAGTAACTATCACTAAGATATATTAAGTAACTATCACAGCAACACTGAAAGTAACTGTCATAACACTGAAAGTAGCTGTCATAACAACAATGCATTCAGTAACTATCACTAAGATACATTAAGTAACTATCACAGCAACACTGAAAGTAACTGTCACAACACTGAAAGTAGCTGTCATAACAACAATGCATTAAGTAACTGTCACTACAATACATTAAGTAACTATCACAGCAACACTGAAAGTAGCTGTCATAACACTGAAAGTAGCTGTCATAACAACAATGCATTAAGTAACTATCACTAAGATATATTAAGTAACTATCACAGCAACACTGAAAGTAACTGTCATAACACTGAAAGTAGCTGTCATAACAACAATGCAATAAGTAACTATCACTAAGATATATTAAGTAACTATCACAGCAACACTGAAAGTAACTGTCACAACACTGAAAGTAGCTGTCATAACAACAATGCATTAAGTAACTATCACTAAGATACTTTAAGTAACTATCACTAAGATATAGTAAGTAACTATCACATCAACACTGAAAGTAACTGTCATAACACTGAAAGTAGCTGTCATAACAACAATGCATTAAGTAACTATCACTAAGATATATTAAGTAACTATCACTAAGATACTTTATAACTATCACAGCAACACTGAAAGTAGCTGTGACAACACTGAAAGTAGCTGTCATAACAACAATGCATTAAGTAACTGTCACTACAATACATTAAGGAACTATCACAGCAACACTGAAAGTAGCTGTCATAACAGTGAAAGTAGCTGTCATAACAACAATGCATTAAGTAACTATCACTAAGATATATTAAGTAACTATCACAGCAACACTGAAAGTAACTGTCATAACACTGAAAGTAGCTGTCATAACAACAATGCATTAAGTAACTATCACTAAGATACATTAAGTAACTATCACAGCAACACTGAAAGTAACTGTCATAACACTGAAAGTAGCTGTCATAACAACAATGCATTCAGTAACTATCACTAAGATACATTAAGTAACTATCACAGCAACACTGAAAGTAACTGTCACAACACTGAAAGTAGCTGTCATAACAACAATGCATTAAGTAACTATCACTAAGACATATTAAGTAACTATCACAGCAACACTGAAAGTAACTGTCATAACACTGAAAGCAGCTGTCATAACAACAATGCATTAAGTAACTATCACTTAGATACATTAAGTAACTATCACAGCAACACTGAAAGTAGCTGTCATAACAGTGAAAGTAGCTGTCATAACAACAATGCATTAAGTAACTATCACTAAGATATATTAAGTAACTATCACAGCAACACTGAAAGTAACTGTCATAACGCTGAAAGTAGCTGTCATAACAACAATGCATTAAGTAACTATCACTAAGATACATTAAGTAACTATCACAGCAACACTGAAAGTAACTGTCACAACACTGAAAGTAGCTGTCATAACAACAATGCATTAAGTAACTATCACTAAGATACATTAAGTAACTATCACAGCAACACTGAAAGTAACTGTCACAACACTGAAAGTAGCTGTCATAACAACAATGCATTAAGTAACTATCACTAAGATATATTAAGTAACTATCACAGCAACACTGAAAGTAGCTGTCATAACAGTGAAAGTAGCTGTCATAACAACAATGCATTAAGTAACTATCACTAAGATACATTAAGTAACTATCACAGCAACACTGAAAGTAACTGTCATAACACTGAAAGTAGCTGTCATAACAACAATGCATTAAGTAACTATCACTAAGATACTTTAAGTAACTATCACAGCAACACTGAAAGTAACTGTCATAACGATGAAAGTAGCTGTCATAACAACAATGCATTAAGTAACTATCACTACAATACATTAAGTAACTATCACAGCAACACTGAAAGTAGCTGTCATAACAGTGAAAGTAGCTGTCATAACAACAATGCATTAAGTAACTATCACTAAGATATATTAAGTAACTATCACAGCAACACTGAAAGTAACTGTCATAACACTGAAAGTAGCTGTCATAACAACAATGCATTAAGTAACTATCACTAAGATACATTAAGTAACTATCACAGCAACACTGAAAGTAACTGTCACAACACTGAAAGTAGCTGTCATAACAACAATGCATTAAGTAACTATCACTAAGATATATTAAGTAACTATCACAGCAACACTGAAAGTAGCTGTCATAACAACAATGCATTAAGTAACTATCACTACGATATACATTAAGTAACCATCGCTGACATAGTTTGTTATTTGCCCTATTGTGATATTATGTTTCAGTTTCTGTTTGTCTCCTCATGCCGGTGCTTTCATACATTTCACTGAAATATGTCTACAGAATCTAGACGATGATATCCTGCAGAAGATCGCCATGGAGATGAACTTGTCTGAAACTGCTTTCATCAAACTTTTAGGCAAGTCGGATAGTTTCAAGGGAAGTAAGTTTTCATATCGACACGTATCCAAAAGTTGACAGGGTTGGATTATAAGTTTGTCATAAGAGGGCTAACTGACAGAACGCAACATCAGAAGTCTCAGATAGGAGTACAGATTTACATTGACATATAAAGTGAAATAACCACGTAATTGATAGTGTTCTCTATGGGATACGACATTATGAAAAAGTTGGCATAACCATCCCATAAACAAGTATATAGTGTACACACAGAAACCTACACAATTGTAACTTAGATCAACATTGACTATTCTTTAAAACCAACACTTTTATCTGAAAATAAACTTGAAAATAAAGTATGAGTTGACGTTTGTTGTGCCCTTAAACGCACAATGGTCTTAAGTGCACAGAAATCATAAATAAACATGAGTGGGCGGAGCTTATGTGACCACGTCATACGGGATATTTGATTTCTTTGACGATGACTTTGTTGAGACTTCCATTAAACTAGATTGTATTTTATACGCACATATTCGCTTACCACGGTGTACTTATAACTTATTCTTGACAAGATCTCATTAAGTAGATGAGTAGAGCTCGAGTGAGATTGTCAATATTTCAATTCTTTCACGACGGCCAAGGAATAATTGAAGCCAAGCTTGGCAAATAAGTGATTGAAACACAAGGAACGACAAAGGGGCATTCTGATGTTGGAGGTGGACTAGCATGACAAAAATAACTTTTTCATTAGGTTTTAAACCTTCGCATGTCCCTGGACATACTAACACGGTAATTGTCGCATTGTCGATTCAACAAAATCGATAATTGAGTGCATTATTATGTGTCTTGACAGGTAATACGTTTGGTTTGAGGTGGTTCACTACAAAAGAAGAATTCAAATTGTGCGGCCATGCTACATTGACATCAGCAGCTGTTTTGTTTGGAAAATTGGGTGAGTAGAAAACATGAATTCCGAAACGTCCCCTGTATGAGTAACTGAGTGAGTTAAGTTTTACGCAGCATTCAGCAATGTTCCAGCTTATATGGCGGCGGTCTGTAAATAATCGAATCTGGACCAGACAATCCAGTGATCAACAGCATGATCATCGATCTACGCAGATGGGATACGATGACATGTGTCAACCAAGTCAGCGAGCCTGACCACCCGATCCCGTTAGTCGCCTCTTACGACAAGCATGAGTTGCTGAAGACCAATTCTAACCCGGATCTTCACAGGGATATGAACTGATTAAGCAATATTTCCAAGTGTATACTGCAGCTTAGCCTGTCTTACAGCGCCTGGAACAAACATATCGAATACATCCTATGCAGGTCTATAATATTGAGCAAGTTCGTAAATGGAGAAAGTAGTCTCTCCGTCCCTCCTTAGGTTCAGAGACTAGATGTCTAGTTTATATAACTGCTCGTCAACAGGACATACTCAAAATCAAAATCAACCATATTTTATTTCTTCAGACAACAAACAGGACCGTATCGTGTTTAAGACTCTGAGTGGGGATTTGATTGTTAAACGTGAGGGGGAGTGGATCCACATGGACTTCCCCGTTGGCGCCGCTGTGAAAGAGGTGGGTTGGATACACTGTGGCAGAGATCATATATGATCTCTGATTGTGGTCTCTTCGTATTATGATCTGCAAGGTCCAACATCGAGATCACATGTGGATGAGTTAGAGTTAACGCCACTTTCAGTAGCATTTGTTGTATCAAGGCGTTAGAGAATTCAGGAGGCGCATCCAGAGAAATTCCCTGAGGAGCATTCCTCCCTCACCTTTGGACTTCATGATTTATGTGCACCCCCACTTCTCCAAAATCCTGGATCCGCCCCTGGAATTCCTGCGAGGGAAACATGAAGGGGCGCAAGCTGTTGATGTCAACATCATACCGTGAAACTGGTTGGTTACCATTGAAAGTTAGACGAACACAAAGGAAACTCTGTACATTCTACAAAATTGTTAGTATGCAAGCTCCTGATTACCTGATTACTTCCACCTTTTACTGAAACCATTTCCGGGTACAACATGCGTAACAAATCAGATTTGGCTGTTCCTAAATTTCGCACCTCAATTCTCCAAAAGTCATATATTTATGATTCTGCAAGTTTATGGAATGCTCTCTCCTCTACAACAAAATGTACAAATTCATTATCATCGTTTAAATCAAAGTAACCTGGAAAAAATGACAAGGTTCTAAAATATTTTCTATTTGCTGAAAGAAAGACAAATATACTACACACGAAGTTAAAACATTCGTGTAGTTCATTACATGCAGATACGTTTCGTGTTAATCTATCACAGAGTAGAGCTTGCAATTGTGATGCTCCGGTGGAAGATGCTAACCATTTCTTTTTAAAATGTCCAAATTTTGTCAGTTGCCGTTTTGATCTGAAGCAAGACTTTGAACTATCAAAAGTTCACTTAAGACATTGATACCATTCTTTACGGCAACCCTGCTCTGCCAAATACTATTAATGAAAATATCTTGAGACATGTGCATAAATACATTGTACGAAGTAAGCGCTTCGATTAATCATTAATATGTCTTGATATTATTATGTCCATTCGTTACGTCCATTCATTATTGTTCATGTTTCTGATGGGAGCGGGCGGTAATAAGTTACATAACTTGTGCCCAATCCATTTCAACACTGAATAAAATATTTTCAAACAATAAGTAAAATTGACATAACGGACAATTGTGTCAACGATGATAGATAAAGTAATGCTCGGAAGTATAGAAGTATACAAAAACTATTAAAATAACCATTCACATCATTGAAAGTTGTTTTGCTCTTACACTATTGAAACTATATTACTGGCTCGCCTGCATGTCAATTGGTTTTGGCCAGTGATAGATTCTCTTTGAAAGAATGTCATCTTTACAAGAGAGTCTCAATAAACATCGGGGCGGTGGGGTAGCTTATTGGTTAAAGTGTTCGCTCGTCGCGCCGAAGACCTGGGTTTGATTGCCCATATGGGTACAATGTGTGTCGCCCATTTCTGGTGTCCCCCACCGTGGTGTTGCCGGAATATTGCTAAAAGCGGCATAATAAGAAACTCACACACTTAATAAACATCAGACGCCTAATTTGAAATCATTTATGACAACATAAGTCCTGACACAGATTTGGCGTATCTTTATTCTCCAGGCGTGACTTCCGTCTGCTGGTGGGCACCCCTGGCGACCCCGACAAACCGTTCCCCCACCCAGTCATCTGGCACAGTCAGTCAACAGAATATGTGGTAAGTGTTGTACATACGGTCAACTGGTATATTACATATATGTTTCCATGTGCAGCCCACACGAGGATGAGAAAAGTTTTCATTATGGGCCAAATATATACATTCGTGTTCTTTTTTCCAAAAATGACTGGATGTAGAGGCAGTTTTTAATTTTATTGTTTTTTATCTTTTACATATTTTCATGAAAGTAACATCGATTTTTATGTATCACATCAAGTATTTTACCGCGGTCCCTGCGGCAAGGAAATTACACTAACCGCATACTGGGCTGAATCTATCCCAATTCGACACATAGAGACAGGAATGGCGTGTGTAAAGCTCAAGGTGACGGTGCCTAAAAGTATTAGACGCAAGCTGATAAAGAAATATGAAGAAATTTAAGAAAAATAAATATATAGCCTAATATGCATAATAAAAAAATGCATTACTGACGATCTTCGTGCAAGTATAAATGTATCCTTCTCTGTCAAGACAGTTTCGCAACATGCAAAATAGTTGGAAAATTATGAGTGAATCACTGACACCAGGTGTTGCGTTGCCAGTAGGAAGTTCCTGCTGTACCGGTAGACTCGCCACCCACAATATCTGCATATCTGTTCCAGGGTAACAACACGTATGTGGTAGAGTTTGAAAACCCCGAGGTGGGATGGAGAGCCTTCTTTATACAGGTACGTGTATCCAGAGATGCTGGCAGGACTCGTATAAACTCCTCATTGGTCCAATTCACTTTATTAGTTTACACTGAGCCAGTGCTGATGTGAGAGGAGCTTTACTTCCACCAGCGGAGGATGAGGACGTTTCATTATTGTCACAACATTAACAACAACCTGGGCCCAACCAGCTGATGGTGTCGTCATTCATACACCATCTGCAATACCTTGTATATTTTGTGCAGCCTTCTGTTTGTCTTCCAATATGTGCAGATATCGGAATCATGAAACAAATGAATTTGATTTGATGACTATTTCAACATTTTGTCTCTACCAGAAAGCTATTTATCATAGCATAACACGAGGTACTTCCTGAACCAAAGGTATTCATTTCTGCAACTCACATAAGTAAGATGTGTAACTTATTATACTGAAAATGTGCCCCGACTGATTTCTTAGAGGGAAAGGACTGTGGGGTAGCCTAATGGTTAAAGCGTCCGCTTGTTACGCTGAAGACCCAGGAACAATGTGTGAAATCCATTTCTGGTGTCCCCTGTCGTGATATTGCTGGAATATTGCTAAAGGTAATGTCAAACCATACTCACTCACTCACTCTCAGAGGTCGACGTGAAAGTTACCCAGCCTGTGAGTCTGCTACTGGAAAACAATTTAACTGCCTGGTCCTTAACCAATCCAAAGCTTGCATTTTAATGTCAGATAAGATAACAATGTCTAGCATTTGGGTTCTATTTGTGTTACACTTATTGATAAAACGGGGTGATTTTCACTTGGTACAGAAATGTTTACTTTTATTGATTAGATATTAGACAGTTTAACACTATACAAAGAGTTGCTTCATTGTGGTGATGTTGCAGCTGACGTTCCGTGGTGTCAACGACTCTGTGCTTGAGTTCACAACGGAGAGCCAGATCATCCCCGATACCTTCCCCTTCCCTGACTGCAGTGGAGAAAGTTGCCGAGGGACACTTGTCTGACCAGTGATAATGTCATAGTGTTTCAACTATTTCTTGTCGACCTGTTTGCTTTGTGTTTTATGTTTAACGCCACAGTCCGCACTATTATAGCGGTTTCTAGTCGACCTGTAAATATGCAAGCGTACAAACCAGTGACTGAAATCATGAGCAACAATCCACGACATCTTGGTGCTGTGACACGCAGCAGTCACTGAACCTGACCACTTGAACCATCATGGGATCCTTGGAACAATTACATGTTACCAGGAACCTGTTGCTGTCTGGACCCCCACGATGTGATGTGTCAGTGCCATATACCATGGTTGTATTGTCCATGGACTAGGGGTATATTGGAGTGTGCCAACCACATGGTTATCGGCCCTTTAGTCTAAACAATCCACATGAAATCGTTATCTATTTTTAATGTACTTATTGTTCAAATAAAAGTGTTGGGAAATGGTCGAGATATTTTAATATGTATTATGAGCATTCGTTAAATGACATCATTATTTTTTACATCTGTGTTCAGGTTTAACATGTGCTTCTTCAGAAAAAGAGGAAAAGAACAGCCAGATTATTTGAGTGTGATATAACACGTAATGCACAATTGATGGACGTATCCATAATTGTGAATGAAAGCGCGTTTTTTTACACTGCTCTAAGCATATCACAGGACACCATATTAATCAGCTTCAAACTTTGTACCCATGTGGGAAATCGAACTGTTTTGCCTGAAGGTTTTAACCACAAAACAACCCCACCGATGGTTGTGTCAAATGTGAAGACAATACACGGTAAATCACCATAGTGATGACTTGTGCATCCACGTGGGACTTGGCGCTTTGTTTTTATTACAAGCATATAATTGTAGGTGTCCCAGATTTAACAAGGGGGTCCCAAACTGAGATTCAGACACAAGTGACGTAAGATTGCGAATGTTCAGAGGGTGCATACAAAACAGATGTGGAGTTCAAGTGCTGGCGCTAGAAAGCTATGAAACATTCGACTGTGTATTGCATTTTTAGATGATTAGAAAGTTAACTGAAAATGAAATCTTCATTCGCCTTACAGCTGTAATATTGCTGTGGTTGGCGATGAACAGACGGAATTGTATGATTCTGGTTAGCAGAGATTTCTTATGGATGTAGAAATGGTTTATTGCTTTTCACCCAAGTCCAGTAAATCCCCAGATCAAAGTTACTGCATTTGGACGAAAGGAGTGTGGAGATTAGATATAGGGGAAGGTGTGAGCTCGCTCAGCCTGTAGTGCATGTGCAATAGGTGTTTGTCGGGTTCATATCTGCCGATTTTGATGGACGCAAGACCCTACTGCAGTAACCATTGTGGTTCTGTAGAAATGGCTGAAATGCTGCTGTGAAACTTAGTATAATATTGTCCAGTTGAAGATGTTATGTTAGCATGGTTCATCCCTTTAGGTCGTTAATGGCAACGCAGGTTTGTATTTCTTGTACAGATCAAGGTCTTAATCATCTGTTGAACTCCCGTAGTTGGCCGCAAAACGTTCACGACGACGTCAATACACACTGCACGGCTTTCTCATCAGTTCGAAGCAGCATACATTTTCCTGAAGTCAGTTCTCCATCACCGGCTACCCTTTCTACTTGGCATTATCAATGTCCTAACTGATGCTGTTGCATCATAGGCGTAGGAACTCTCTCTCTGTATGTGTGAGTGTCTGTGTGTGTGTCTCTGTGTGTGTGTGTGTGTCTGTGTGTTTCAAACATTTCAATCCCTGAGAGGAACATCTAATTTTTTCAAGGGATCTCAAATGAAATTAATGGTTATGACATACATATATACTTTGAATACAGACAGGCTTCAAGTCATTCTCAGTATCAACAGTGTCTCGAGGACGTATCACCTGACTAAGGACCAGTCATTCTGAACATGCGGATAGGCAAGGCATACATGTCCAATACAGAAGAGTACACCCCACCCCATTTTTAGTAGTTTTCAATACTCCCTCTACCGCATCCCTTCATCTTTCTCCTATAATATAAGTCAAGGGAGGATGCAATATGGAAGTAGTCCAAGAGGGTTACAGTACCACTCATATATGCTCCAGAAATTCCCTCAACGCCCATTTTTTAGATACTTCTGTTTATTGTATTCAAATACATACACGATTTGTGACGCACGCCACAAAAAGAGAAACCACCTCAATGATACTTCACTAGGGTCAAATGAAGTAGGGCATCACTTTTTTAAACAGACTCCCGTCACTGCAGTATATTTAACTAGTAAATATGTAATGAGTTGATATTTGTTTAAATCTGAGAAAGTAACTTTAGTCAAAAGTCCATTCCATCCGGTTTTTACAGCATCCAAGAATCCCATTATGAGTTGTGTTATAAGAATTTATTCTCCCTATACTTGGGACTAGGGATTCATTGCTGAAGCATAATAAAACAGCCCAACATTATAAAGTGTTTCTTTGAGAGGCATTTTAGAAGTTGAATAGGTGATGGAAAACCAAGTTCTATGGATAGTCAACTTCTTTATTGCAATGGGTGCCAGTTTCGGTGTAGGTGCTAACACCCTTATCAAGCAAGTGAAACAAAGAGTTGAAACAAGGAGAATATATACATAGCTGCATAGTGATTACACATGTTTATACAATTGACAAGGTTGATACACACTGGATTGCTAATAAGTGATTTGAGCAGAGTAGATTGATGTACAAATAATACAGTGTTCATGTTATTTCGGTCACGAATTGGTGTATGCACAGTACACATGACAACTGATGCATTATAACATTATCACATGACATAACTCACATACTCTCCTCTTGAGTAAAACAACATACTTCATTGGCGGATCCAGAGGGGGGGTTCAGGGGGTTGGAACCCCCCCTTTTGAAAATGACTTAAGATCACATTGAAGATTTTTTTTTTGCGTTGGCGGAGCCAATGAGGGTTTCAGGGGGTTCGAACCCCTTGAACCCCCTCGTTTCAAAATTCCTGGATCCGCCCATGTACTTATCATCACTGAGAATGACAAACCACAAAATCTTCACTTTAGTACTGACCTCCCAAAGACAATACAACAGAGCAACATGAAACATTTAATTTCTTTACAAAACAATGACTATCTTGCCAAAATATAACATATGTTAAACAAGAAGCACAACTGTTACATTTTTTTCTACGATCTTTACTGAAATAAATAATTTATGATGTCACAAGCTGAATAACGGGTATGTCCACCATCGGCAAGGAGAACAGCAGTGCATCGACGACGCATAGAGCCTATCAAACGTGCAAGGAAGGCTTGTGGGATGTCACGCCAGATTCTCTCAAGTTCTGTTGCAAGGTCAAGGACGTTATCTGGCGGATGAGGAAGACGGCGTAAAACAAACATGCTCTATCGGGGAGAGATCCGGTGAATTTGCAGGCCAAGGCAGCAAGTCAACGTTGTGGTGTTGCAAGAAATCCATTGCAAACCTTGCCTTATGAGGGCGGGCATTGTTCTGTTGGAATGTTAACCCAGGGCCATGACGTTGCAGAAAAGGAATTGCCACAGGTCGAAGAATCTGATCCCTGTAGAACACACCAGTTAAGTTGCCCTGAACAATCACCAAAGGAGTTCTTTGGCGTGCTGTTATTCCACCCCAAATCATCACGGAACCACCACCAAAGCGATTCCTCTCCAAGACAGTAGCCTGTGCATAACGTTCTCCCACGCGTCTATAGGCACGGTGACGTCCATCACTATGGGAAATGTTAAACCTGGACTCATCTGTAAAAACAACATTTCTCCACCAAAACAAGGGTCTGCGGATGGCGGGACGTCGAGTTCTGATCCCGTGATGACGTAAACGTTGTCGAACTGTGTTGGGGTGGATACGGCGAGGTCCTGGGATGGTTCGGGCAGTCATCACTGCAGTCTGTAACCTGTGGCGAAGATGGGTCACCCTTATCCATCTGTCCTGTCTTGACGTTGTTACACGTGGACGTCCAGAACGTGGCCGATCGATGATGTCATTTGTGTTCTGGTAGCGTCTCACAAGTGCAGAAATGGTGTTCCGGTGGCAGTGGAAATGTGCAGCCACTTGTCGTTGAGACATTCCCCCACGGACCATCCCAATGGCCTCACGACGTTGTGCAGACGTGAGCCTTGGCATGCTATGCGTTTCAAAAGCCGTTTAATTTTGTGAACGATCGCAAGGGCAGGGGTTGAACTTTCCAAAGTGACTGTATTGTGCGGCATTCATTTGCTCTGTTTCTCTTTCCCGGAATGCACGTGCAACAACGTATTGCACGTCTCAAGGACGAACCCACTGATGTCACGGAACGTGGCACGTGCAAGCATGTTGGATACATGTCACTAATCGCTGAGTTTAAATCCTTATGTGTCTACACAGGTTTGATAAATTTAGATTTTAAATTTTTGTATGCACAGTTTCTTAAGTGCCTAGTATATTTTATATAAAGTATATACCAACTAAAGTATAATATGAACAGAAAAATAACAAGAAGACAGTCATCAATATCCCTCGCAATGGTAAAATAATCTTCATGAATATATCAGCTAGTTATGACTATGTCAAATGTTACATTGTTCTTCACATTGATCTACAAAGACATACATATGTAAACTATTCATATAGTAGCATGCTTGTATCAACAATTGACTGTCTGATACAGAAATAGAGTGGTACTGTTGATTTAAGTCAATAGGATCTTGAATACACACAAAGTGGAATTAGAGTATTGACTTCAGAAATCCAAAATTACCAAAAGGCACCAGTTCATCACCAGACATATCTATGTAACAAGTCTGGTGAAGAAACATTTAACGGTTTTTAATTTCTGCACTGGAAAAGAGCACTACCACCAATTTCAGTCGAAGTCAAAGTTGTTGCCATGGAAACTCAAAATATATTTATTCAGAAATCCAAAATTACTTAAAGGCACCAGTTCACCACCAGACCTATCTCTATGCAAAGTTTGGTGAAGAAATATGTAACGTTTTTTATGTTCTGCTCTGGAAAAGACGATTTTGCACAGATGGACGGACAGACGAAGGCCAAAATAATACACAGTCCCGCAAAATGAGTTGCAGGGGATAATAATTACAGTCCAAAAGAAAGATCCATATAAATGAACAAAATGCAAATGTAAGACCACAATCTATCAAGTGGAAGCCGTGGTGGCTGAGCGGGTTAGGCGGATGACTTGTGTGTTGGCAAATAGGTGCCTGACTCTGAGTGTGTGGGTTTGAATCCCGGATGGGACTCAACCAAACAGAAGTACAAAAATCTGTACTTTACTACGAAAGTGTAATCCCAAATATAAATATGTTAAAGTTGACTTAAGTTTTATCTGTATTAAAATATATACACCTCATAAGGAACATGTACATAGTCGGAAACAACGTCATGTAACCATTGAATTGTAGTGAACTATTGTCATTTAACAACACATCACATATCACATAACTAAAAGCACCTGATGTGGTTCAATGAACAGCTGGGACCTTCTTAATACCCATCCAACCTGAACCTGAATTACCCATCCCAGCCCTGTACAATGTAGGGAGGCAGGTGTCCCTGTCATAGCATTGCTGGAATATTGATAAAAACAGTGTAAAACAGTGAGAAGTATTAGATCTGGTGCTCAAAACATTGTTATAGTGTGAGCTGTGTTTTGCATGTCATTATTTCAAACTAATGCTTAGTGAACCCTACCTTACAAAACACTCTGATCAACTTCAATATCCCTGTGAAATCAAAGTTTGAATACTACCTTTGATGGGATCATAAACTCTAGTATTTCCAGCTGAGAGTTTCCCTGACTCATAGATTGCCCATCGGCCCCCTGACCTTGACATTGAACACATGATGACAGCCTGGCTATGATTGGCGTGAGTGAAGGATGTCTTACACAAATCTGTATTTGGTTTGTCAGCTTCGTAGAACTTCAGGCTGGGGTTTGGGTATTTGGATATGTTTGGTGAACCCCATGCACTTAATGTGAAAAATAAATGGGTGACTTCACTCGGGATTTTTTTAAGATAAACGTTAATAACATGGTGACCTTGATTCTTTATGCTGTCCATTATGTCTCCTGAATGTTGCACAGCACCACTGACACAACTGAGATGACGCCAGTCACAAAGATGAAGAAACTGTGTTCCGTTATAGAGGAGACAGGACGCATCAAGAAAATCTACCCCAGACAGTGGAAATCCCCAGTAGAGATCAAAAACTACATGATCAAACCCTACTGGAATGGCCAGCATCAGGACAACTAAGTAGACTGTAGAGTTAGGTTGAATGTTGTAGTCTCTCAGCTTCATCTGTTTCTGACCATCTCCATACACCTACAACAGACAAACAGCTCTCTTGACCCGACCCAAAGCTTTTGTTTTTGCATGTTGTTTAATGCCGCACTCAGCATTATTCCAGCTATATGGTTGCCGTCAGTAAATAATCGAGTCTGGACCAGACAATCAAGAGATTGACATCATTATCCACGTAATTGGATATGATGGCATGTGTCAACTAAGTCAGCAAGCCTGACCACCCGATCCTGTTAGTTGCCTGTTATGACAAGCATGGGTTGCTGACAACACTGGTCATGGCCCAAAGCAGTCAGACTGTACACTGCATAAAGAATAATATAGTATACTGTTCCATAATGTACCTGGCAGTTAGGGCTGGGACGGGTTTATCAGACGGGTGGGTAATGAGTTGGACCCGGGTACTTGTCTCAATACCCGGACCAGTTAAGATCATGTGACTAATATATCAACAATGTAATATGTTATTTTTCATGATTAAAAGGTTGTATTGTCTTTGAAGATTTACACATAACTGTGCAGTCACCTGTTTTGAATATAATACATGGTTAAGATATTGAAAAACTCAAAATTTTAGCCTCAGAGCTAAAGAATATATTGTCCTTTCTTACAAATTTGATGTCGGGAAGTAACATTACGGGTATGGTAATAGGGGGTGGGTTACCCAGGTAGAGAATTTGGACACATCCTAGCCCTACTGGCAGTAACCTTTAAACCAAATAATCACTCTGCTGTTCCAAAGATAAGACATTTATATGATTCACATTTACTTTCCTGTTCGATTAATGTCCTGTAGTGAAAGTCACAATATCTTGTCTTCACAAAATAGGTGAGGATACATGTTCAGCAAAAGATGAAGTCAGCGTGTCCAATCATTGCACCATACCTTTATCTCTATATCATTGTATAGCAGCTTCTGTTTCTGAACTTCATGTTTCATCTTGTTCTGTATGGACTGCTTCAGCTCCAGTATTGTCATGGAGGGCCTGTAGTTCACTGTCATTGAGTCCCCATTCAGTACTGCCACACGCACCACACCCTGACCGACACCCTCGGGAATAACCAAGGGAGTGAACTCTGTAGTGTACTCACGGAACATCTCATCTAAGGTGCGCTGAATGATAGCAATATTTCTGCTTTCAGGTGTCACAGGCTTTCCACATTCTGCAAATGGACAGCACTTCTTCTCTTTCACTTGTCGAATCACACACTGGAAAAATAACACAGAAACATTTTTGCTTATTTCTTTAAATCGCTGTGATGCCCATTTTTGCTGTCCCCTGCTACACTATTGCTGGAATAAAGCTCCATAAAACCAGACTCACTCACTTTAAAGCCCAAAATGACCTAATTACAGACCATAATTAAATTATCTTTTCACCATCTATAACCTACTCTTCATTATATGTTAATCAATTTGTTTCAAAACCACAAAGATCCTAATCACACCTAACCACAAAATGCCTGAAATACTGACAATGCCAATAAACATTTTAACTTAGTATATAGATGCACAGAGATTTCTGTAGACATTATTCCAAAGAAAGAGCGGTCAAAGACTGCATTCATTACCTTCATGACCATCTTTCAGATGTATTACCCTTTGCAGGGGTTCAAATTGTGCTTAATATAAATATTGAAATGGCAGAGATAAAATATTTTCAATGTGCCTTTGCAGCATGACTAAAATTTAATAAATGATTGATTCATTGAAAAGAAAATGCAATGAATCCGACCAACTGAAATGATTCAAAATCTTTTTTTGCACACTAACAAACTGTTTATCAGTGGCACTCTCTATCTCACAGCTTCAAATGTGCATGGTCATTCTGAATGTTATTGTGCATAACAGGAAATCCCGTTTTGCATGATAACATGGTTTATGAGTTAGTTTATGGGTTCAGGACAAATGAAACTGAGCTGTTCTTGCAGAAAGGATGGAGATTAGGAAATCCACCTCTCAAGGTTACAGGTTTACAAACTACATGTTGTGTACAGATTATTAAACAATAAATTGAAATGACATAATTGTTATAATGTTTTGAGTTTAATTGTATCATCAAAGGTATGGGCACAGGTTTTTCACAAAGGCACACAGGGGTCTACATTATCTGTCTGGCGAGCTATGGCACGCTTCGATTAAAATACATGTCTATCCCTGCTTTGTCAGTGCATCTATATCCATCCCAAATCCTTGTTTGGATTAACTATTAATTTTGATACCTTATATGTAGGTTGGTAGTCAAAAACTGATACATTACTTAAATTCCTGATTATTTCTAGCAGATACTGTAAGGTATAACAATCAAGGCAGCCTGTCGGCACAAGAAAATATATTCTCCACAACTACAAAGGACAGAAGACAAGATGAGACTGGTGTACACATGGAGTACGGACAACCTGTTAAGAATACTTGTCCCTCGCTGCCTCACCATGTGTGTGTTCAGGGGGTTCGAACCCCAGCCCCCCTCTTTTTGAAAATGACTAAAGACCACATAGAAGTGAATGGTTTGCATTGGTGGAGCGAAGAGGGGGTTCAGGGGGTTCGAACACCCTGAACCCCCTCCTCTTTGAAAATTCCTGGATCCGCCTATGTAACCCATGCTTGGCAGAAGAGGCGACTAACGGGATCGTGTGGTCACTGACTTGGTTGACACATGCATTCATATCCTAATTGCGTAGATGCTAAGGCTGTTCATCACTGGATTGTCTGGTCCAGACTTGATTATTTACAGGCTGCCGCCATATAGCTTGAATATTGCTGAGTGCAGCATCAAACTAAACTCACTCAATAATGACTAGGTTATACTTTTGCTGGTCTCATATAGAACAGCTACACACATGAATGTTTCCTTTATGTTAATACCATTTCAGTTAATTACCAGTATTAAGTGTTGGGCATATTGTATGGAAATCAACAGCACCATTCGGTCCTTATATCACATCTCTGACCTAACAAAGTTGTTCAAATATACAAGTCAAGATGACCACTGATTTTCTTTCAATTCCTGCAACCCCATGCTTTTTTTCCACAGAATATTTTGAATTATGGCAATCTTACCCTCATGCAGTGAAATCTTGGATGTTTGCAATTCTCAGTTATGTCAAACTGAGGAAATTCATTGGACAGCTTGTTTTCCTTACATCCAAAGCACCTCATTGTCAATGCTGAAAAATGGAAAAACCTCTGAGTTATAAACATCACCACTTCCTCAATATATAGAGAATATTGTGTCCACTTTCTGATTGAAAAAGATTGCTGATTTCTAAGATAAGAATTTGATGATGAACAATTCTGATTATTCAGTGTAGTTGGAATCACGCCAAATATTTAACAGTACTTTCATTCCATGAAGTTCCTCTTTGAATTGAGAGGTCACATAGGTTTACATTCAAAGTCTTTGAATTAAAATCTATAGCTGTTTAAATATGACAAAATGTTTACGGCACATAATAAGTTTGGGAAATATAAAGCCATGATGTTTCTGAATGCCACGTACTGAGGTCCATCACAAGCATTTGAATCACTAAACCATTGCATCCTCTTTTGGAGTTATCTCCCTTACACTAGAAAGCCCTCAGTATACGAAATAATGCATTAAGGACCGTTTATAATTTATGGGTGGGTGTGGGGTGGGTGTGTGGTGGGTGATGATGATTTTTTATGGAGAAGCATGTACAATGTAACTGCCCCTGCCAAAAAAAATAAATTTATGTACAAAGTAAGGAACCCCCCTACATTTCATGTACAAAATCAATGCCCCCAACCCCTATTTTTAAGCATAATTGTTAAGTACATAATTGCTGACAAAACCCCCAGCCCCAGTTCATGTGTTAAAAATTGTTGACCCCCCTACCTCCGCAGAACAAAATGGGTGATCCCCCCTTAAAATCAATACCCCACCTAGCCATAAATTATGAATGGCCCCTTAATGCAAGAGCACAGGATATTGGATATGGGATACTGTTTGGAAAGATCTTTTATAAAAAGCTATTTTAGACATGAATAAAGATGATGTGATGCATAGTTCTCCTTCATATTAGTAATAACTTGTATTTTATGTATTCTGAGTGTTTCCAATTCTTATTTGGAAGAATACATGATCATTTTATTTCAATAATTGTTATTTAAGTTGTGAGAATAGAATTTCACAATGTTTATGGTACTATAGTAACATGGTGACAGGCTGGTATAATGTAGGTGTAAGGACAAAGTTTATTTATGATGTATAGCAACATAACAACGTATGGTATGGAATTACAACTTCTTTGATATGTACAACATGACATTTCTGGGCTACTACTTGACCCTTAATCATGCCATTCACCTGATGCGCAGGTTCAGTTCTCATTTCAGTGAATTAGGCATCCACTACTGAATTGTTGATTAAAAGGACAAATACATTTATCCTACATATCCTATGCCTTTCCAGCATATTCAATCATTAAATGTATGTATGATAAAAGTGAGCAAAATCAACTTATGAGACTATATAACATCTCAGGAATATATAGTCATAATGGACTGGAAGATGTTTTTCACCAGCATAAAGATAAACTATTGGTGAAGGTGTTAATATGAAAAAGAAAACAACATCTGTACAAAAAGTATAGTTATGAAGTGGCTCCAGTTAAAAATCATTCATGAAATCCTTCCAACACAAACCTTCCTACTCAAAGTCAGATATATGTAGATTCCAGCCATGGTTAATTTTGCAATATCATACCTGGAAAACGCATTTATACAAATTGTATGTGAATGAAATATCTCAAACTAGAGTGACTATAGTTGGCTTGCAAATATATGAGGTCTACAAAAAATTACATGTACTGTAACCATTGTTTCTGCATTTGAAGGTACAAATCAGAACCCCCTAAGGGCCACATTATTAATTGTAAAAGAATATACTTATTTACAAAATGTTAACATATAAACCCTACTTTGCACAAATTCAAGTATAAACAACAAAAGATATTAATTAAATACAGTGCAGTATAAGTACTCAGTTCTCTACTCTTAACACACACCTGTAATTTATACCATTAATTGAGATATCAATGAGGCAATTGTGATATCGCACACGCACACACACACGCACACGCACACACACACACACACACACACACACACACACACACACACACACAGCCCTCATTTTTTTATCTCTTCAAAACCTACCGTTTGACAAGCTTCTGGCTGACAACAATAATGCTACGTCTTCGTGTTCGAAGAATATCATGCCTTTTTCCACGTAGCCAATTATTCCAGGAACTCTACTTTTGGTCGTCTACTTTCGTTATTGAGTCTTTTCAGAAAGGGTCGATTGTGATAGTAGGGTGGACGGTTTGCTAAAGGACTTTGGTTTGCACGAATGTGAATGAAAGATCTAATGTCGGTTTCATTCAATTTGTTGCATGAAATGAAGAGAACAGATGCAGGTCTAGGTAAAATCAATTCTTTACTAAGAAGTCATCTATCAGTCAACAATCTAAGAGAAAACACGCGGGTTTCATTGTTCGGGTCCCCTTATGTTTGTATAGATTGGTCCATATATGACGTTATTTATTTTCCTGGGATCGGGTGCAGAACTGTCCACGTCTCGGAATCTCGGAGATCAAGGTGAGCGTCCCTGACAGTTAAATTTGTTAAAATATGGTTGATATTTTTTTTCTGGTTAACCCATAACAGTCTATACAAATGTTAGCTACATGTACATTATTTAATGAGTACCAACGTTGGACGGGCGTCAGTGCCACAGGCTCCCACTGCGGGTCAGAAAATCAATAAGCTAAGCCCTGGTTCACTATCCAGCCCCCCTACTATATAGGGTCAGAAAATCGATAAACTATATACATGTAACATGTTATATAGTAGGGGGCTGGATAGTAAACCAGGGCTTAGTTTATCGATTTTCTAGTAGGGGGGCTGGATAATAAACCAGGGCTTAGTTTATCGATTTTCTGACCCGCAGTGGGGGCCTGTGGTCAGTGCATGCAACAATAATGCTACGTTTTCGTATTCGAAGAAATCGTGTCTCTATCCACGTAGGCAATTATTCCAGGAAGTCTACTTTCGGTCCTGTACTTTCGTTATTGAGTCTTTTTCAGGAAGGGTCGATTGTGATAGTATGATGGATGGTTTGCTAAAGGACTTTGGTTTGGACGAATGTGAATGAAAGATCTAATGTCAGTTTCATTCAGTTTGTTGCATGAAATGAAGAGAACAGATGCAGGTCTAGATAAAATCAATTCTTTACTAAGAAGTCATCTATCAGTCAACAATCTAAGAGAAAACACGCGGGTTTCATTGTTCGGGTCCCCTTATGTTTGTATAGATTGGTCCATATATGACGTAATTTATTTTCCTGGGATCGGGTGCAGAACTGTCCACATCTCGGAATCTCGAAGATCATAAGGTGAGCGTCCCTGACAGTTAAATTTGTTAAAATATGGTTGATATTTGTTTTCTGGTTAACCCATAACAGTCTATACAAATGTTAGCTACATGTACATTATTTAATGAGTACCAACGTTGGACGGGCGTCAGTGCCAGGTTCTCATTGGGTCAGAAAATCGATAAATAATTCTGGTTTTAGTTATTCAGTTTCTATTATATAGGGTCAGAAAATCGATAAACATGTTATATAGAAGGGGCTGGATAGTAAACCAGGGCTTAGTTTATCGATTTTCTGACCCTATATAGTAGGGGGGCTGGATAGTAAACCAGGGCTTAGTTTATCGATTTTCTGACCCTCAGTGGGGGCCTGTGGGGGCATGTTATATAGTAGGGGGCTGGATAGTAAACCAGGGCTTAGTTTATCGATTTTCTGGTAGGGGGGCTGGATAGTAAACCATTGCTTAGTTTATCGATTTTCTGAAGTAGGGGGGCTGGATAGTAAACCAGGGCTTAGTTTATCGATTTTCTGATCCGCAGTGGGGGCCTGTGGTCAGTGCATGCAACAATAATGCTACGTTTTCGTATTCGAAGAAATCGTGTCTCTATCCACGTAGGCAATTATTCCAGGAAGTCTACTTTCGGTCCTGTACTTTCGTTATTGAGTCTTTTTCAGGAAGGGTCGATTGTGATAGTATGGTGGACGGTTTGCTAAAGGACTTTGGTTTGCACGAATGTAAATGAAAGATCTAATGTCGGTTTCATTCAGTTTGTTGCATGAAATGAAGAGAACAGATGCAGGTCTAGATAAAATCAATTCTTTACTATGAAGTCATCTATCAGTCAACAATCTAAAAAAAAAACCGCGGGTGTCATTGTTCGGGTCCCCTTATGTTTGTATAGATTGGTCCATATATGACGTAATTAATTTTCCTGGGATCGGGTGTTGAACTGGCCACGTCTCGGAATCTCGAAGATCAAGATGAGCGTCCCTGTTAAAATATGGTTGATATTTGTTTTCTGGTTAACCCATAACAGTCTATACAAATGTTAGCTACATGTACATTATTTAATGAGTACCAACGTTGGACGGGCGTCAGTGCCACAGGCTCCCACTGCGGGTCAGAAAATCGATAAACTAATTCTTGGTTTATTATCCAGCCCCCTACTATAGGGTCAGAAAATCGATAAAGTATATAACATGTTATATAGTAGGGGGGCTGGATAGTAAACCAGGGCTTAGTTTATCGATTTTCTAGTAGGGGGGCTGGATAGTAAACCAGGGCTTAGTTTATCGATTTTCTGACCCGCAGTGGGGGCCTGTGGTCAGTGCATGCAACAATAATGCTACGTTTTCGTATTCGAAGAAATCGTGTCTCTATCCACGTAGGCAATTATTCCAGGAAGTCTACTTTCGGTCCTGTACTTTCGTTATTGAGTCTTTTTCAGGAAGGGTCGATTGTGATAGTATGGTGGACGGTTTGCTAAAGGACTTTGGTTTGCACGAATGTGAATGAAAGATCTAATGTCGGTTTCGTTCAATTTGTTGCATGAAATGAAGAGAACAGATGCAGGTCTAGGTAAAATCAATTCTTTACTTAGAAGTCATCTATCAGTCAACAATCTAAGAGAAAACACGCGGGTTTCATTGTTCGGGTCCCCTTATGTTTGTATAGATTGGTTCATATATGACGTAATTTATTTTCCTGGGATCGGGTGCAGAACTGTCCACGTTTCGGAATCTCGAAGATCATAAGGTGAGCGTCCCTGACAGTTAAATTTGTTAAAATATGGTTGATATTTGTTTTCTGGTTAACCCATAACAGTCTATACAAATGTTAGCTACATGTACATTATTTAATGAGTACCAACGTTGGACGGGCGTCAGTGCCACAGGCCCCCACTGCGGGTCAGAAAATCGATAAACTAAGCCCTGGTTTACTATTCAGCCCCCCTACTATATAGGGTCAGAAAATCGATAAATAAGCCCTGGTTTACTTTAGGCCCCCTACTATATAACATGTTATATAGTAGGGGGCTGGATAATAAACCAGGGCTTAGTTTATCGATTTTCTAGTAGGGGGGCTGGATAGTAAACCAGGGCTTAGTTTATCGATTTTCTGGTCCGCAGTGGGGGCCTGTGGTCAGTGCATGCAACAGTAATGCTACGTTTTCGTATTCGAAGAAATCGTGTCTCTATCCACGTAGGCAATTATTCCAGGAAGTCTACTTTCGGTCCTGTACTTTCGTTATTGAGTCTTTTTTCAGGAAGGGTCGATTGTGATAGTATGGTGGACGGTTTGCTAAAGGACTTTGGTTTGCACGAATGTGAATGAAAGATCTAATGTCGGTTTCGTTCAATTTGTTGCATGAAATGAAGAGAACAGATGCAGGTCTAGATAAAATCAATTCTTTACTAAGAAGTCATCTATCAGTCAACAATCTAAAAAAAACAACGCGGGTGTCATTGTTCGGGTCCCCTTATGTTTGTATAGATTGGTCCATATATGACGTAATTAATTTTCGTGGGATCGGGTGCAGAACTGGCCACGTCTCGGAATCTCGAAGATCAAGACGAGCATCCCTGTTAAAATATGGTTGATATTTGTTTTCTGGTTAACCCATAACAGTCTATACAAATGTTAGCTACATGTACATTATTTAATGAGTACCAACGTTGGACGGGCGTCAGTGCCACAGGCCCCCATTGCGGGTCAGGAAAATCGATAAACTAAGCCTTGAGTTTACTATCCAGCCCCCTACTATATAGGGTCAGAAAATCGATAAAGTATATAACATGTTATATAGTAGGGGGGCTGGATAGTAAACCAGGGCTTAGTTTATCGATTTTCTAGTAGGGGGGCTGGATAGTAAACCAGGGCTTAGTTTATCGATTTTCTGACCCGCAGTGGGGGCCTGTGGTCAGTGCATGCAACAATAATGCTACGTTTTCGTATTCGAAGAAATCGTGTCTCTATCCACGTAGGCAATTATTCCAGGAAGTCTACTTTCGGTCCTGTACTTTCGTTATTGAGTCTTTTTCAGGAAGGGTCGATTGTGATAGTATGGTGGACGGTTTGCTAAAGGACTTTGGTTTGCACGAATGTGAATGAAAGATCTAATGTCGGTTTCGTTCAATTTGTTGCATGAAATGAAGAGAACAGATGCAGGTCTAGATAAAATCAATTCTTTACTAAGAAGTCATCTATCAGTCAACAATCTAAAAAAAAAACAACGCGGGTGTCATTGTTCGGGTCCCCTTATGTTTGTATAGATTGGTCCATATATGACGTAATTAATTTTCCTGGGATCGGGTGCAGAACTGGCCACGTCTCGGAATCTCGAAGATCAAGATGAGCGTCCCTGTTAAAATATGGTTGATATTTGTTTTCTGGTTAACCCATAACAGTCTTTACAAATGTTAGCTACATGTACATTATTTAATGAGTACCAACGTTGACGGGCGTCAGTGCAAATACAGGCCCCCACTGGAGGTCAGAAAATCGATAATTAAGCCCTGGTTTACTATCCAGCCCCCTACTATATAGGGTCAGAAAATCGATAAAGTATATAACATGTTATATAGTAGGGGGGCTGGATAGTAAACCAGGGCTTAGTTTATCGATTTTCTAGTAGGGGGGCTGGATAGTAAACCAGGGCTTAGTTTATCGATTTTCTCATCCGCAGTGGGGGCCTGTGGTCAGTGCATGCAACAGTAATGCTACGTTTTCGTATTCGAAGAAATCGTGTCTCTATCCACGTAGGCAATTATTCCAGGAAGTCTACTTTCGGTCCTGTACTTTCGTTATTGAGTCTTTTTTCAGGAAGGGTCGATTGTGATAGTATGGTGGACGGTTTGCTAAAGGACTTTGGTTTGGACGAATGTGAATGAAAGATCTAATGTCGGTTTCGTTCAATTTGTTGCATGA